TATTAAATTTAAATTACAAATTTTACAAGATATTAACTAATTATATCTTAAATTTTTATTTTAGCTTAGAAATAGGGGGTTAAGCATAATAAAATTTTGAGTAATTACAAAATTACAAAAAAAAAAAAATTTAGCGGGCAAATTTGGCCGCTGGACGGTTTAAGGGATAAAGTTAAAATATCTTAAAAAATATTAGATCAATTTTATTTATATTATTATTATTAGAATCATAACAACTAGCTTTACGACTTTTATTAAAAGCTTACAAAAAATTAGCTTAATAAAATTTATTTTTATAATCAAAAATAATGATTTTTTTATTTATATACTGTATGTAATATAAAACTTATTTTTAGAATTCTTCTTTCGTTGGATTATCAATTAAGTGATATCAAAAATATAACCCGTAAAATAGTAAATTTGAAGCTTCTCTTTCAGATTTACGGTTTACTTTTTTAATTGTTTGTTATTTGGTAAAATATTAAAGGTTAAAATTACAGTATGTGGTTTCTCAAATTTCGGACCAAATATAATTTTTTCTTTGGTAATATGAATTTTTGGCCAATAACGTGATTAAATCTAATAAATTTTCGAAAAGTTTGAAAAATTTTGATGAGTATAAGTGACGTGAACCATAAAAAAGATGAGATTGTAATATAATACGCTTTTTTTTAAAGTTGTTCCGATCTAAAAAGTACCTGCCAATGCAAAGCTGAAATAACTGAAACTAACCAAATAATATGCGACAATCTCGGATTCAGTTAAATTTTAGCAACAGCTGTCGATGTTTTTTAAAACCACACCTACATAAGGACATGCAAAAAGTTAATTCTTTAATAATTCCCTAATATTTTAAAAAACTTAACCAGATAGTCAATGTTGCGAGTTTTTGCTTTCAGTGGAATTTTATAGCAACACTAAATATCGATATATATAGTTAAATTTTCAAGGTCTGACTCGGCCGGAACCAATTTCTGAATTTATTAAATTTGCATGGCCTAATAAATACCACGTGATAAGATTTTTCGGTTTGTTTAATAAAGATCTTCACCCTCAAAATTTTACACACGGTACTTTCTACATAAATGTATAAAAGTCATGACTTTAATCCGTCGATCAATGGAAGAAATTCGGGTGATTCAATAATTATATCTCACGTTATCGTTATGTGATAATCATAAGTTGTTTTGTATAATTATAGTAATTACATACAAATTGATCATCCATCGTGATCTATGATAAAATAGATTATAAAAAAATTTCAGAACCGTTCATTGCTGTTTTTATAAAATACATAAAATACAAATGGCGACTCATGTGCGAAGAAAAGCTATTAGTATAGATAAAAACGAAAAAAAACGTGAGCATGAAGCTAACAGTCCTGAGGTTGTTACACCTATTCCTGTTAGACCGGCTATATCTCAATTAATTACTGTTCGACCAAGAGTTTCACCTCGTAATGTTCGTAGTTTTGCAAAAGTAAAAAAACTTAGATTTGACAAGCCTGACAATATTTCACCCAATGATGATAACTGTCATTCCGTAGTCAAGAACTGTTCTCCTGTGTTCAATAACAGTCAGCACGTAGAAAGAAGCAATATCAATCTTCCAACTATTAATAGAAATACTCTCGTCACTCACTTGGATACAGAGGATTCGATTGCAAAGTTTAATGAAACAAGTTCCGCTCGAGAAATAACTCGAGTAACATTAACAAGCTTTGTTAAAGTTGGTGGAAACAAAGAGGTATCGCTGAATACATCTATGATACAAAGTAACAATCCTCAGACTACACATGATATTATTACACATGATGCTACACATGATACTACACATGATACAACTGATAACAACATCACGGATAACATCACGGTTACCAAAATCAATGCCACAATCAAAAATAATGACGACTCCGCATTGAATATAAACGAGACCAAAGATAAAAGTAAACCACCAAAGAATAAACATGATACGCAAAGTAAAGAGAAGAATGGAAGTGAATCTTCATTAAATGTCAAAAATGATAAAAAACAATTTCCTTGTCCAGCGTGCAAAAGAAGTTTCTCTCGCAAATTCAACATGCAATCCCATCTCAAGACACATGATACTGACCGTGTAAAACCATATGCATGTACTTACGAGTCATGCAATCTTCGTTTCACAAGAAAACATGATCTCAAACGTCATATTAATGGTATTCATAACGAACAAAAAGAATTTTTATGTCCTCATTGTAATAAAAACTTTTCTAGAAAGGATGCGTGGAAGAGGCATGAATTGACTTGTGGTTCCGAAGAAACAAAAGATGTTGGAAAAAGGAAGCATATTACAAAACCATTACCTCAATTATTACCTACTCCATTCACTAACCAATTGGATAATTCTCCATCTATAATTAAACGTAGAGGACGTCCAAGAAAATTAGTAATTAATAATGACACTGATTTAATTGTTCCTATAAAAGATGTTACAACTGAATTTAAAGTTGGAAAAAAAGGAAGACCAAGAAAAATACTCAAGATTGAAACCCCATTGATTGAATCTACAGAAGAAACTAAGGTCGAAAAAAGCGCCGGTCGTATGGATGGAGTTATTTCTAATCATACGAGTGAACTTTCACTTACAGAAACTCGATCAACAGAGGCGTCAGTTGATAATCAATTAGTAAAATCCAATCCCGCGTCTACTGCTGATGTATCACCTATCAGTCATCCTAATAGTATGATCACTGAAGTTAGAAAAGAAACAAATGGTTCGATTGATTCGATTGATTCTTTTAACAAAGAAAGCGATTCGATTTCTTTTAAATACCATGATACTTCTTCGACCATTTCTTCTATTAACGAAGTAGACTACGCAATGTCCGAAGAAATGACTGAAGAAGCATTCGGTGAATTGTACGAAGAAACTTTTGGAGAAAAAGCAAAAGTATCGAAGGAAGGATACTAAGTGTATTTAGGTAATCCCCGTGAATTTTAATCTACAAATACAAAATACAAAATACTTGTAATACTTAGAATGCTTGTAATATTTGTAATAGGTTTTATTTTTTTCAGATACGAATTTTGGATTTTTTATATAAACTTTGCAGGGCGATTCTTGGAAAAAAAAATATATATACATTCTTTTAGCTTTTTATCTATGACCAAATGTTACTTTATTTGCACTTTTTTTTTTTTTTTTTTTGTTTTGTCGCTGTTGCTAGTTTGACATCTTGCACATCTCAGAATGATAAAAAATTTTTGTTGCTGTTGCTTGTTGATATCTCCAGTGTTGTCTATTTTAAATTTTATAAGTCATAACAGGTCATAATCTATAATTAGCCAATAGGTAATAATAGGTCATAGGCCAACACTGCATATCTCAGTATTAGAATGATAGAAAATGTTCACAAATAATATAAATTTTTTAAAGTCAATTTAATATCATAAAGACGAATTTAATTAGGTATAATCAATTTTCTTGCAGTATTGCGATAAAGCTCAAAGTTTGATATAAATAAAAAAATTTTACGTTTCATAAAGACCTTATTGCATAATTAACCGTCATGTTCTGATTCAAAGAACAAATCTTATAAATAAGAGCAGGACAAGTTGGAGACTACAAGAAAAATTACCATCACGTCGTACGCGAATGATACCAGGTTTACATAATACATTAAACAATAGCTTTTAACTTGAGAATAGAATGATTATATCTAAACAGGTTCCTAATTATTGAATAAATTAACATATTAATAAATTCAAATTTTAAAATTTTCTGAAAAAAGCGTGAAAGTCATAATTATTATATATACCGGGAGTTCTTTACTTTGTATTCGAAAATAGCGTTCAAGAAGTCCAAGATCATATAATTGGTTTCGCATTAGGATATTGATGACGGTACCTGGAGAGCCATACCCTCCACAACAGCAAATTCTACAGAATTTGCAAACATTAACACGTTTAAAACGCATAAATGAAATATTAAAAATTGTAAACTTACCGATCATGATAATCTTCTTTCTTGTATGGTAGATCAAAATGAATGCTATATTTGACTGGTTTAAATGAAAGCACCGCCGCAAAGCTATCCGTCGTGACAACAATCGCTGGATTTGATGATTGCCAAAATGATTTAACAATCTCATGTCGTTCAGATTGGTTTGTCATAGAATGCTGGTATATACTTTATTTTGTAAGTTTTTTTTTTTTTTTTTTGCTTTAAAAATTTTACCTTTCAACTTACCAATGGGAACACTTCAATATTTTCAAATAATGTGGATAATTTATCGGCCAACCAGTCGACTCTTTCTCCATTGTCACAAAAGATAATTGACTTTCCCATATCCGATGTTTTGTAAAGTTCACAGAGAGAGTTTAGCTTTAATTCTTCTTTTTCTACAAGTGTATAAAACAATTCTAATCCTTCACTCATGTGCACATCGGTGAGAATGATATTGGCGTTGGGCGTTAATATTCGTCTAATGTCGGCAAGAGTGAAAGTTGTGGCTGTCGTCATGAAAACTCTTTGTGCTCTATTTGGTGAGCTATGGATGATATCCAAAGCCTGCGTACGAAACGTGCTATTAAACATAATACATGAATCTTCAACAACAATCATTTTAACGTCACTGATATCAAATCCCCTTCTTTCTGTCATTAAATCGATTAAACGGCCTTCCTTGAGTTGAATCACGTGTGGAATAAAACGAATTAATAAGTCCTGTAAAAACGTTCAATATACTTGAAACGTCGTATTGGTAACGAACCTGGTGTTCCGATGATTATTTGTTGTCCTCCACTTTTCAATTTTTCAACATCTTGCCTTACAGGATAACCGCCAACACAAACGGTCCACGAAATTTGTCGGTGCTTGGCCATTACTTCAATAAGATCTTGAATGGCAAAACATAGATCTTTAGAATGCACAAGCACAATTCCTTGGCAAGATTTAACACGTGGGTCTACGTGCTGAAGCAGACCGATCAGATATGTTAAAGTTCTTTCTTCGGAACGAGGCACCTGAATAATGACGTCACGACGTGTTAAGATTGCTTTGATCGCACGTTTCTGGATAGAAGTTGGTTGATCATACCTGACATTACCAAAATGGGTAATGGATAAATTGATCTGTACTCGTATTTCAATAATAGATTAAATTTTCAAAACATACCCCAGGGCGCGAATTCCCCTTAGCAATTCGGGCCTCAATTTCATTTCCTCAAAAGTGGGTACTGATAAATTGTAATTATCTTGCAATGTCTCACGTGGATAAACATTTCCAGGTTTCCTATCGATTCTCTCCTTACTGCCACTTCTATAAACAGCTCTATTTATCTAAAATAAAAAAAATCCACGGTAAATTGACCGTAATTAGCCGCACTAAAATTGATATTACCAAAAAAAAACTTACTTTATTTCGCGCCGGCACTCTTGGTGGAGGCTGTGATCCGGGCTGTGTAGGTGTCATCCCTTCCCGAATAAGCGCATGGTCCTGCTCTTGTATTTTTTTAGGTTGGATCTCCTGTGCAGATTTTTGTTCAATTTCAGCCTCATTAGATGAGGATTCTCCTTGGCTCTGACTAGCAACTTGCTTCTTCCTCGCTCTTCTAGATTTTTTTCTCTCTGCGACAGACATTCTTTTTTTACTTTTATCACCTGATTCATTATGAGATTCATTACCAACAACCTTTATATTACTTGTTTCTTTTTCAGAAAGCTGTTTGATATTCGTTAAATCATTAATAGGTTCGCTAACTGATCCCGTCGTTTCTACCATAGGGGAGAGTGTCGGTGATATAGGAAAACCCGAAACCCCATTAGTTACGATTTTTGGCGTAAGTCTCTCTTTTCCTTCGGGAGGCACAAGAGTTGAAATAGCTTCTGTTAACTTTGCTATTTGAACTTGTATATCAGGCAAAACGGCCAACGAAGACTGAATATCTTGGATAGCTTTTAGTAAGTCTGGGGTTTCCGTCATTTTTTATTATTATTATTATGTTTTTTTTTTTTTTGGACTTTATGAAAATCAGAAGGGAAAATAGATTAATAATTTTTTAAGAATTATATAAAAATGTACATATTTATATATTTTACTAAATTATATCTTGTGACTGCTGATATGACGCTTCTATAAAAGCTTCTTTAAACAATGACATAACCATGACGCGATGACTGTATTTATACTCTGATACTATGGTGATAATATAATACCTTCATTTATCAACGCTCTCATTACTTTCTCTAATAGAAAGCGCATTGCTGCATTGCACTAATAACACATCCGTTGTTATATCACATGACTTCTGTTTTTGGATTACTATATCGAAATTATTATTGTTATTGTTATCTTTTTTATTTCAACAATCAATTAGATTGCTGTTTAATACTATGTGATGCATATTATACAGTATATATAGTGTAGGTTTTTGACAAATTTTATTATATTTACTGTATCTTTAGTTTAATGATATACAATACTGTGTATTGCTTAAACAAGCTTATACGCATTATATAAAAAGAATGTTAAATAATTGATTTATTGTTTATATGTATATATATAGTTATAATATAATTTGATTAAAAAAAATATTTATAAATTTAAGTAATTTTTATATAATACAAAAAGTTAATTTAAAAAAACTTTTATTACAGTATATATTTTATAATTTTTATAAATAGGGGGTGTCAGTAGAAATCAGGCAAATTGTTTTTAAGTAAATTTTTTTTCAACTTTAAATTAAAATATCTCAACAACTATTAAACCAAACTTGATAAAATTTTTTTATTTTAATTCTATATAGTTATAGAATTAAAATAAAAAAATTTATAAAGTTTAGTTTAATAGATTTTAATTTAAAAAACAATTTGTCTGGTTTCTACTAACACCTCTTATATTTGGTATATTTATATAGTCAAACCTCTCTAAGTATATTTTTCTAAATATACGGGTTAAGTAAATTATTTCTAAATGTATAGTATAGTTTGGTTCTAGCTTATAAGAGCCCTATATAATTTGTTTTTTATAAATACACACCCTTTTTAAGTATACTTTTTTTTCTATAGTTTCAAGAAGTATATTTAAAAAGATTTGACTATATATAATATAATTTGGTTATATTAAATTTATATACTATATATTATATATATTGTATATATTTTTTTTGAATTTAATTAGATATTGCAATCTGTGATATGCTTATATATTATAATTTAGATAATTGACCAATCAAATTTTAAGATCAGGCATAACATAGCATAATCAAAAAATTCAAAACAAATATTCATTTTGGCAAAAGTTATTTATAACTTAAAATTTTATGTATGAAACTATCCTTTATACTTTAACAAAAAAATTTCTTGTAAAATTTTACTATAAATTTTTTTATATTGTATTCTAATTCTATTTAACTCTAAAATTTTAATTTATTTTAGTTATTATAAGATAAATTATAATTTATATATAGAGATTCTCATAGTAAAAGGATGCAATAGGCTAAAAAAATTTTTTTTCTAAACTCAATTTTTTAAAAAATTAAAACAATCAGTTTTCAATTTTTATAAAATTACAAAATTAAAATTTTTAGCCCATTGCACCTTTTTGCTATAGGGTTTCTATATATAGATATGATGTATAAATATATTGTAGTAAATAATATATATATTTATTCTTTTTTTTAAATTAAAATTTTTAACTTATTAATTTTTTTAAGAATATTACTTTTTTTTTTTTGGCATGTCTTGCTACTATTTTATTGAGATATAAACTAAGCAAAAAATTACAAGAATTTTTAACTAAAGTTACTATTTATTAACTACAACAAGTAACTCACTTGACTTAAAAAAGCCCAGATATAATATTATCTAGTAGCAGTTCACTTCTTTCTGGGCCTCTAACTTACTAGAAATATGAATTCTTTGATTATTGGTTAGTGCTACATGTATATTAGTATCATCTTTTTTTTTATA